GTACCTGCATAAGGACAACAACATCCTTCTTGTGGTGTTCGTCGACGACATTCTCATCGTCAGCGAACAAAAGGGGGTCACCTGGTTCAAGCAGCAGCTGTCGAGCGTGTTTGCGACGAAGGACCTGAGCGAGGTTGACATCTTTCTCGGCCTCAAGATCATCCGCGATCGCCAAGAAAGGACCCTGCAAATCACACAGCCACAGTACATCGACAAGATGCTCAAGAGATTCAGCATGGCAAATGCGAACCCAGTGGATTTCCCTTGTGCGTCCGGTATCCAACTGACCTCTGAGATGTCACCGAAGACGGACGAAGAGAAGACGAAGATGAAGAAGGTCCCCTATCGGCAACTCGTTGGTGCATTGATGTTCTGCTCGGTCACGTGCCGCCCGGACATCGCTTATGTGGTCAAGGAGCTTACACGATATGCTCACGAGCCCGGTTTTGGGCATTGGCAGGCAGCAAAGAGGGTTCTTCGCTATCTGAGTGGGACAAAAGACAAGGGGATCGAGTTCAAGGCTGAGCCAGGCAAGGAAGGTTGGATTGATCTAACTGCCTTTTCTGACTCGTCTTGGGCTGATTGTGTGGGTCGCAAGTCTAGTGGTGGTCATGTTGTGTTTGTGTGTGGTGGACCTGTGTATTGGAGTGTAAAGACCCAGCCACTAGTCACGCTGTCGTGAATGAAGGCTGAATACGTACAGATGAGTGAGTGTGCCACTGCTCTCGTGTATCTGGCGTCATTTTTCCGTGGCATACCTCTTTCTGGTGTTCGGTTTGGGAGTGCATATCTTATGGCTGATAATAGAGGAGCTATCCTGAGCGCACAAAATCCGATAGTCAGTCACAGAACGAAACACATTGATGTGCGTTATCAGTACATACATCAGCTAGTTCAGTCAGGTTTCCTCACTGTTCGATACATACGATACGTACGTAGCAGTGAGAACATAGCTGATATACTCATGAAGGGACTCAGGCGTAAAGCGCATAAGTACCTGAGTGAGCGAGTTACGAGCAGGATTAGATGGCAGTGAGTTTGTTGAAGCGTGGAGGGGCAACAAGGGATGAATGAGTCTGCATCTGTGTATTTACTTGGTGTGTTGTGGTCACTTGAAAAGGAAGGGCATTGTGGATATGTTGTGATATGCTGTGATTGTTTTATCTATGCACACACCACACCATTCATGCTTGTGCTTATGCTGATCTGTGCACTTGTCCACTGTGTGTGTGCTTCACCTACCTAATGGTTATTTTCTGGATACCTTTGTGCTTTCTTCGTGATTTTCTTTTCTTAAGCACATGCCGTGATGGTTCGTCTTGAGAGGGGGTGTCAGGAATGCCAACTTGGCCGAACGGGGAAGGCCCTGAGGGTCAACCACGAATTTGAACGGGGAGCGACGAATCCACATTCGGTTGTGCTGCAGCATTCCACACACACATATCACAAAGACAGACACAGCGAGACGGGTGAGTGACAAGTGCCGCCAGCTGTGCGTTTGACGTGACGAACTGAGAATCGGCACTCGTTGCCATGCGGGCATGCGCCATTAGGAGTCCTGAAGTGTGCCTGGCATGGCTTGGTCTTGAGTTCACGCAGCTGGAACATGCACATCCATTAGAGGCGTCGGGGACCCTGGCTGCTGGTAAAGGCTCTGCATGAGAGAGAGCGCAGGGCAGGGAAAAAGCGGGAGAGGATTTGCTGAAAACCGTAAGAACGATGAAGAACTGGGGGCCAGGGGGCCAGCGCGAGCTACGGCGGAAGGACGGCAGACCCCTTGCCACTTCCAGGCGGGGAGACCAACGTGCTCGACGGGCCATCACATGACGAAAGGGAGCAGACGGAGGGCGTCAGCCGAGTGAAGGAAATGCGAAGATGCGCTGTCCTTTCGCGCTTCTGCAGCTTCTTGTCGCTCTGCTCCACGTTCAAACAGTCCCTTCAACCCACCTTGTGGAGCGAACCCGACGTTTGCAAGATGACGCCGGCTACAATGGCAGCTGTACGTGGACCGACTGCACAAAGTGGGAGCTACTCTCCACCTCTGTGGTCTTTCGGCCAACCGTTACCCCCATGGGCGTCTCATCTCCCCAGTCGCTCATCCTGCCACTGGACCAGGTGGACGAGCTCTCAAGCGTGGAGTGTGGGCCGTCTTGCTCTGCCGATGCTGATGCGCTCAGCAGGCTGACGGTGAAGATTGGCCTGATGAATGAGTCCGAGGCGACAGACTTCGCGACTGACTTCTGTTCCGTGTCATTCATCGTGTGCATTCGATTACCTGATGGTGTTGAGGGATATCTCTTGCTGCTTTGGGGTGATCACCGGGGGGGTCAGGTGAACACATGGGCAGCGGCACTTAGGAAGAGAGGGAAGAGGGTGCCTTTTCCCGCTGAGACCTATGAGCTGAAGGCCGTCTTGGGTTTGTGGATTACGTCTGTGCCCCTCGGTACGTATGAATGTACTTACATGCAGACAAGAGCACAACTATATGTGTGCATGCAGAGGGCCAGCTGACGGAGGAAATCGGCAATTTGACATCCCTCCGGCTGCTGACCTTGAGAAAGGTGGGAGCAAGAGAAGAAGTGAGAAGAAACCGCTTAGGTGCGTTGGTTGTGTCTCTTAGGTGAGCATGGGTGGGAGCCTGCCCGCTTCACTCGGGAGGCTCACATCCCTTGTGGCGCTAGAAATTCAAGGCTCCAAGCGAACAGGGCCTGGCCTTTCTGGGCCGCTGCCGCCATGGCGGCTAAACTCCCTCGAAGTGCTCTCAATTGTCGAGGCTCGCTGGCTCGAAGGCTCGTTAGACCAGATCGCCAATCTGGCACGACTCAAGCATCTGACTCTGATTCTGCCTGGTCTGCGCCTTCCAAGCAGCCCCCACCTCGGCCCCAACCTGACAACGCTCGTGCTGCAGCGGGTTGACCTGAATGGCCAGATACCGGAGTGGATAGGAGGCATGGCGAATCTCGAGACCCTCGATTTGTCATGTACGTGAGTGTCTTATGTGTGAGGGCACTGACTCCTTTCATGTGTGTGTGTGGGGACTTCAGATAACGACTTATCTGGACCAATGCCGCCGTCTCTCATGAATCTGACTAAATTGAGACACCTCTCGCTGTCCCGCAATCGTCTGAAAGGCAGTCTGCCTGATGGTTTCGGATCGACGTGGCCGCATCTTGAAGAGCTGGAACTGCAACGAAATCAGGTAGGTCAGGAGATATGGAAATCAGAGAGACACTGGGGCGTAAGTAAGGAAGCGATGAATTATTCTGATTGCAGCTGTCAGGTCATCTTCCCACAGAACTCAGCAAGACGACAAACATACGTCACATCCGCCTCTCCTACCAGCGCATAAATGAAGGTTTTCATGGCCCTTTACCTCCAGAGTGGGGCTCGTTGACCAAGCTTGAGTACCTGGACGTAAGCCGCAACAACCTCAATGGCACCATTCCTGAGCAGTGGGCCAACTTGTCGGAGTTGAAGGAGCTGGAATTTTGGCAGAGCGGGTTATCAGGGACTTTGGACGCCCTTGGGCCACTCCGAAAGCTGGAGATATTGCGTTTGAGCGATAATATGGTCCGACACGAAATCGAGAGACACAGGCGGATGTCTCTCATGTGTTGCCGACAAATGTCTCTCCTCTTTTGTCTGCCGCTGTGTACAGTTTGAGGGCCCCGTGCCTGACGGGCTGGGGGAATGCACAGAACTGAAAGAGTTTATCGCGGACCACAACAAGTAATAGTCTTGCTGTCAACCAACGTGTATACCGCTCCTGTGCTCTGATTCTTATTGAATGCAGGCTGACAGCTCTTCCGGCCTCGCTTGAGAAATGGGCTAAGCTAGAGGAACTCGTTTTCAGCAGTAACTCCCTCAGCGGCGTATTGCCACCTCTACAATCCCTTCACTCGCTTAAGAAGCTAGATCTTTCAAAAAATCGCATTGAGGGTTTTCATGGCAACGCATCCCTTCCCGAGACGTAAGACACAAAGCGATTCTATCTCATAGTTGTCGTTTTTTCTTTCCACCTCAGACTAGAGTACCTTTATCTTAGCAACAGTGCTCTCCGTTTCATTCCGTCCACATGGTCTCGCCTGCCTGCCGTTAAGGAAATAGATTTGAGGAACAACAATATTGATTCGCATGGCTGGCCAGGGTGGTTTCAGACGCCAAAGGGATACTGTGTCAGCTATGCTGACTCTATATGTAGGCAAAGTGGATAGGCATATTGCCCGTATTCTCTTGTTCTGTCCTTCTAGCGACGCTCTCTGAAGCTGACGAGTTGCTACCAGTGGTGCCACCTCCCAATTGTATGATGGACATGTGCGTAGGACTAGATGAGCGCATCTATGTGCCTTCTTCAGGGCCTGCTGTGAGAAGGCTAGATTTCTCGGACAACCCTTTGGGGATCGACGTTGTTGACTTCCTACAGGCATTTCGAGCGCTGCCAAGGTCAGCAAGAGACGCATAACATACAAATAAATTAAGTGTGCTTGTGTTGTGTTCAGCCTTATATATCTCCGCTGCGTAGACTGTCACTTATCTGGAGCAATAACTTCCGACGCTCTATGCTATTTTGACATAGAGGAACTGCAAGAGTGGATTGCCAGGCCTTGCGAGGTACAACACGGTGATGCCTCTATTACTTTACCTGCGCCAACTCTCGGTATTCTTGATGCCTGCAGAAGCAGTATAGTGTTCGCTCAAGAGACAGCTTAAAGGCTCTCTCATCCGAAGGCCTTCTGGATCTTTCTGTCAACAATATCACGATGGTGTCGATACTCGATAATTGGGTAGCTCCGAGAACTCCGAGAGTCGATATGCCCCGCCCCGTGCTCGCTGCTAAACTCAACTTGTCCGACAACAAGCTAGAGAAGTTTGAGCTGTCCCGTTTTTGGCATCGTTGGCCCAAAAAAGTGGACTTAACGTCGAATCCTGATTTAAGGCTATTCATTCATACGGTCGAAATCAAGGTGAGTGAGGCAGCATGACAAGTACTTTCAACGGGCAAGTTCCCCTGCTATCGTTCAGGGATGCTCTGAACTGTTCAATTTTGAGGATGAATTGAAGTACAATTTTCACCTGGTCCGTGACCCTCATTGGGACGACCCAACACGTAAGCAAGCTGGAAGTGAGCAGCTTGTGTATCGTTGTAATAACTCTACTGTGCGTCTGATAGGCGAAGGGTATCAGTGTTCGAGCGTGTGTCGCACAATGAATGACATACAGGTGAGTGACTATAGAGACAACACGCTGTCAGTCACCCACATATGGATGCCGATTCATGTCCTCGTGTGAAGGTGGATGTTTCAGTGAACCTATCGGCTCTGTGTCGCTGCATTCCTGGGTACGCTGGCGAAGGGCAAGGCTGCACTATTTGTGAGACAGGATCATTCTCCAATCACAACGTCGGCACCTCTCGATGTCATCTCTGCCCCGTTGGATCTAGTGAGACAACAAAACATGCAAGAACTTCCGGGGGAAAATGTGCGGTAACGCCCTTTCCTTCTGTCATTCTTTCAGTGTCTGAAGCCGGTGCTAGTTCGTGTGAGTGTGTTGATGGCTACTTCAAAAGCAGCTCCGGCACTTGCAAGCCAAAGTGTGTAGCTGGCTACTTTATTAATAAGTCCGAAATATGTCAGCCGTGTACTTCAGGTAGTTTGCTCATAACCTAAAACACGACAAGACAAGAGCATAACAAGAACGATACTTACATTCCACTGTAGGTTCTTATGGCGTCTTGTCGAAAGAGCTTGAGGGAGAGTGCCATTCATGTGGAGAGGACTTCTTATCGGCTGAGGGCAGCAGAGGCCCAGAGGCATGCTTCTGTCGAAAGGGATACATCAGGTTGGCACATTGCAGGGATTGACGTCTATCTTTCAGTTACTGTCTGCGTCTCTTCCGCAGGGACAGCCAGAAGCGTGTATGTGTGGAGTGCATTGAGGGCATCAAATGTGACAAGCCCATTGTTAACAGAACAATGGTGCGTCTGCTCAAAGACTACTACCAGCTAACAGTAACGCGAGATTTAATCAACAATGGGACAGAAACAACCACGTGAGACCAGTGTTTATAGGGAAATGTGTATGAAAGCGCCCACTTCTATGTACAGGTATGCTGCCGGACTGACGCGCCTGCCTGTGGTGATTTCCTGCCCCTTCAAGAAGGCATGCCTTGGCACAGATGACAACACGGGACTCACTCAGTGCGCGGTAATCGTCAAATCGCATTCAGGAACGGAAAGATCGTCAGCTGCTCTCTCTCTCTCTCTCTCTCTGCGTGTGTATGTGTGCGAGTACAGGAAGGCCATCAGGGCTTCATATGTGGCGTCTGCAAGAATGGCTATGCGAGCCAAGGACCACTACAGCCCTGCCTTCAGTGTTTCGCACTAAACGTGAACATTCTTGCGGCTCTCGGACTTGTTTGTGTGTCCCTTGCTATTATCTTTAGCTTGACATACCTTGTACAAAGGTATGGTCACAACAGGACGCACGCAGCTGTACAAGAGATGTTGTTTTTCCGTGCGCAGGATTGGAAGTAGGCCTCGCGACGACGTGATTCCAGTTCTCTTCAAAGTGGCACTCAACCATCTCACATCGGTACATGCATCGCCAGTCTGATCGCAGTATGCATATATCCTTCCTCTTGGCAGATAAGCGTATTGGCCATGCTGGTCTTGTCTATGGCTTACGACGATGACCGATTCTCATCCTGGATGACCTATTCATCGCGCCTATTTTCCTGGGACGGAGGTCTACCATTTGCATACGCCTCGTGGGACTGCATTATACAGCTGATATGTCCTGAGGCAAGCGGTACTGCAGTGCTGTGGAGACATGCTGTGTGGATCGTCATACCTCTACTATGTCTCATCGTCATGCCCATCATCGGCGCGCTGTTTTCGTGGTGCGGCAGATGCATCATGCGTTGCTGTCGCCGTCGTTTCACTCGGCAGCCACCGGTGCCAGTGCGGGATGATACGATTCACATTTGGACGGGATCTGCCAGTGACTGGTGCGCGAAAGCCAAAAAAGCCGTAGATGACCAAGCGGAGCTCTTCATTGTCACACTAACATTCACGCATCCCACGGTAACAAGAAACATGCTGATGCTGCTGCGATGCCGAGCGTACCCGTACCTGGATGAAGATGATCACCTCACAGAGCGGTCACGGCCAGATGTGAATCCTGATCTGTTGTGCCACGAGTGGCCCCACGAGATGTTTCGTTTCATCGGCATGGCTGGCTTGGCGCTGTGGAGCTTTTTGCCCGTGATTGTTGGTGTTGTGCTGCTCCGGTCTCTTCGCGAGAAGCTGCATAGGCCCGAGATGCGCTTGGTATACGACCGACCACAAACGAGCAACGAAGAAGAGTTTAAACTCTTTTTGATTCTTCTGTCATGCCGATGTGTCTCAGAGGTTTGGTTTCCTCTACCGGGTAAGAGGTTGGATGGAGCGGATGATGTGCATCTATGTATATATTGGTGGTTCTAGGGATACAAGCGGCCATACGCACACTGGGTGAGCCCGCATATACATCGGCTCATACGTGATACACTTCTCTCACTGAGCGAACCGCCTATTGTTCTCTCCTCTGCCCTTGTATGTGCAGGACGCCGTCTTTGCTCTGAGGTGCCCCTTGCACGCAGATTGCCTTTGCTCCTCACTTTTGCTAGGTTCCTTCTGCAACCAGGCGCGTGTTGGTCCTTTTGGTCTCTCACATGGCCGTCGGTGTTCCAGGCCTTCAACTTGTTGGCTGGGTTATCATCGCAATTGGATCCACGGCCATTCACCTGCTTGTGCAGCCGTTTGATCACCGACACATGAACCTCTTGAACCGCATGGAGTCTCAGGGGCTGATCATTTGGACCACATCCATCATGCTTCTGTCTGTGATCATCCAGAGCGAGGCTGCGGACTATGGAAGGGTCACTTTGTTGTTCCTGGCGATGCTCCTGAACATGTATCACTACCTGAGCCTCCTGTGGCTCATATGCTACCACGGCCTCACGCAACTAGCCGAAAGAGACGGCCGAACAGAGAGACTGTCGTCACCTCGCCTAACATTTGGTAAGAGAGGCGTCTCGAGTACACAATTCTGCATGTTCAATCTCTATATCTCTCCCTGTGTGCAGGGCTGACCACGCTTACTTCCTTGCTCTCTCTACGAGAGAGCTCTGTGCTCTCTACCCTGCCCCCCGTCACATGGCTGTCCCACCTCCTCGCCTGGCACGCACGTCGGGACGAGCGTCGACGCATGATGTTCGGCAGAGTGTCGTTGGACTGGCAGAGCGGCAACCTCTCACTGATGGAAGAGGATACAAGCGACAACATCTCGCACACCACACTTTCATCTGCTGAAGTTGCCAGGCACTGCGGGAGGCGGCGTGACCAATTCTGTGGTATCGTGTCTTTCGTGAAGGCGCTGTGTCCAAGCGGGGATAGCAAAGAGCGGCGGATTGCGCGAAAGGGCGAGTTGGTGATGCGGATGCTGAGTGCGGCCATGCAGGAAGCCGTCGATCTGCTGCATATCAAAGAGGTCAGTCAAACTCCAAACAGTGTATCCCGATTGATGGCGTCTCTGTTTTTGTATTTTTGCCAGGTGCCGCCGGACTTTCTCGCCTTCCTCTGGTCATATAGCTTTGTTCTGCACTCGCCCTCCTTCAAGAAGAAAGTAAGACACACAGCATAAGAAGTAGTGAGAATAGTGCTCTGTCTTGGCCGCTTTGCTTTGCAGAGCCAGCTTCAAAAAGAATCAAGCATCGCTCACGATCGGCCGTGTGAAGGTCAGTCAGTTGAGCAAAGTACATCGCAACAACTATCAATTCTCCTCTCCTCTTCTTTTGGCTTCCTTCCTACGTCCGTGCATGTGTGTGCGCGTGTAGGTGACAGTCGGGAGTTTGCAGTTGTTCATTCGCAAAGTCGGTTGAGTCACCAAAGTATATGGGAAACGAAAGAGTCTGTGTGGTTGAGGGGCTTTACCCCATCTGAGGCATCATTCATCGCTTCTGAAAGGTGGGCACAAAAAGGCAGCATGCATTCGGTAAGTGTGGCCTGTGTCTGCAAGCAGATTTGCGACGGACTGTGCAAAGAGCGGTATGACACTGCACGACCTACAGGTGAAGAGACGATAGACGCACGCCTCTTCTCTTGTCCACACATCCGTATCTCTGCATTCACAGTCGAGGCTTTTACTTGTCGTCGACAAGTTGGTCGCCTTCCAGCACGAGTACGAGGAAAACATTCGCCGCAGAGCACGGACGAGACAGTACATTAGAAGCCCGTCGGGCCGCAATGTTGCCGGTGGGACGGTGCTGACAACAATCAAACATTGCGCACGTGTGTCCCGCTGTCTTGCAGGCCCTTTGCATAGTGAAAACACAAGCTTTGTACAGTCGATCATCGACAAAACCGACACTCCTGAGGCCCTTGAGGAAGCTGGCGGCTGGCGTGAGCTATATCGGACTTTCCAGAAGGCCAAAGAGAGGATGAGACACCCTAAGCCACACACGGTACGCGCGGGATAGTTGCATCAGTATTTGCTCAGATTTACACATCGCTTCTGTCTGTGCAGAGGCGTGAGTTAGAGGATGGGCATTCAGGAAGTGGTGTCGACGTGGAGAGGCTGGTGACGGCCTTCCTTTCGGGCGAGGGCGAGAGGGAGGTGGATGAGAATGAACAGGAGCGTTCGCGTCCATGAGATGTGAGTCTTGTTGTGGGGTATTTTTTCCACATGTAAACCATGCACATCGGGAGAGTGTCTGTTTTTTCCTTTCGTGGATTTCTGTTCTACACAGCCTGGACTAACCTTGAGACAATCTGTAATCATGAAGCGACTGGAAATGCATGAATTGTTATGTTAGAGAGGCAATTATAGAGTCTAGGCTTTATTATTGTAATGATTTGCGCTGCGGACATGATACCCCTGAGGTCAACTTTCAATATTTCATCGTCTGATGGTCATTGTTTAACGCAATGATCGCACAAATTCGGACCCCCATTGGGGGACCGTCATCAGAGAATTTACGGCTATGATCTCGAGTGATCGCCCTTCTTTCAAATCGAAATAGCCAAGAGCAGAAAAGAATGGCGTGGACGAACAAGACTCCCCTTCCGTTCTTCGTGTTCATTCTCTACCACGGTTCTGCCGCCGTAGTCATCCATCCCGTGTATCATAGCAAGGCCATTAACCGTGATGTGTTGCCCTTCCCGCACGACGAGTGGGGTAAAAACGTGGAGGAGAGTATTGAGGAGAGCATCAAGGCAGTGCCGCGAAAGGGACATCGTCAGAAAGAAACGGAAAGCGCGTCAGCACGAGGAGTCCATCAAGAGTGCAAACTAAAAACTAGCTAGCTGTCCCTTCCATTCAATCACTGCAAGCATGCCGAATGTAACCCTCTGCCCGACCACCCACCGAGTCCGTCATAGATCATCAACCCTTGACATGTAGAGTGCACATAAGTGATGCCCCTGGGGAAGTGGCCGTCAGCCAGAGGGTCAAACGACGACGCACAAAGGGCGGGATAGTTGGCACGGAATAGCGCTGAGCTCGTGGGCTGGTGGGAGATGTCGTGCACGTGATGCTCGGCAATGGTGGGTGCGGAAATGAGGCCCCTGGAGAAGTGGCCGTCAGCCAGAGGGTCAAACGACGACGCACAAAGGGCGGGATAGTTGGCACGGAGTAGCGCTGAGCTCGTGGGCTGGTGGGAGATGTCGTGCACGTGATGCTCGGCAATGGTGGGTGCGGAAATGAGGCCCCTGGGGAAGTGGCCGTCAGCCAGAGGGTCAAACGACGACGCACAAAGGGCGGGATAGTTGGCACGGAATAGCGCTGAGCTCGTGGGCTGGTGGGA